CAGACCTGGTTGCCATTCTACTTTCTGTCTGTATGAATTTGACTACTCAAATTAGAATCATACAATCTTTGTCCTTTTGTGACTGGCTTATTTCACTTAGCATAATCTCTTCAAGGTTCATCCACATTGTAGCATGTGACAAATTTTCTTTCCTTTCTAAGGCTGAAAAATATTTCATTATATGTATCTACTACATTTTGTGTATCCATTCATCTGTTTGGATACTTGGATTGCTTCAACCTTTTGGCTATTGTGAATACAACATTTTTAAACAGCTTCATAAAATTCATTCATTAAGTTATCTCACTCTAGTCAATCCTGAATTTAAGTTGTTTCAAACTTTTCGCTATTATGAACAATGCTTCCTTTTATAATTAACTTCCTTTTAGACAAACCTTTTATAGCCTTAATTATTTCCTAATTTATTTAGGATATTCTTTCGGGTAAATTCTTAAAAGTTAAACGGGAGGGTCAAAGGTTATGTACATTTTTAGGACTTTTGATTGTTTTTGTCACACTGCCCTCCAGAAAGATTATAATATTTCTACAGTTTACTCCTGCTAGCCATGCATGCAAGAGTTTCTCTTTTTTATTTTTTTATTTTTCACTTTTGGCTGTGTTGGGTCTTCATTTCTGCCCATGTGCTTTCTCTAGTTGTGGCGAGCACGGGGCTATTCTTCATTGCTGGGGGCTACCCTTCATTGCAGTGCATGGGCTTATCATTGCGGTGACTTCTCTTGTTGTGGAGCATGGGCTCTAGGTGCGCGGGCTTCAGTAGTTGTGGCATGTGGGCTCAGTAGTTGTGGTGCACGGGCTTAGTTGCTCCGTGGCATGTGGGTTCTTCCCGGACCAGGGATCGAACCCATGCCCCTTGCATTGGCAGGCGGATTCTTAACCACTGCATCACCAGGGAAGTCCCCAAGAGTTTCTTTTTTTAATCTTTGATTTGATAGCCAAAAAATGTTCTATCATTCTTTTAATTTGCATTACCCTCAAATGTTAATGAGAGTAAATTTTCATATTAGTCATTTGTATTTGATGAATTGCTTTTTCTTTGTCTATTTTTAACTTGGGTATAATAATTTAATAATAATAATGACAACTATAACAAGTAGCACTTAATGAGCACCTACTCTGTGCCAGCTGTTATTTTAAGTTCTTTACCTAGATTAATCCATTTAATGCTCATCAGCCCACTCAGAGGTAGATTCTGTGATCCCCATTTACAGATGAATAAACTGAGGTGAAGATAGGTGCAGTAACCTGCCCAGAGTTACATAGCTAGTAAAGTGGTGGAGCTGGTCATCAACTCCAGGCAGTTTTGGACTCCAGAGCCTTCACTCCTAGCCATCCAACACTCACCTGTCTTTCCACTGACTAGGCTATAAGCACTGTCAGGGCAGTGAACTGTGTCACCAAGAAATTTAGAATTTATAATTATTTTGTCAAATTCTTGTGAAATATATTTTTGGCTGCTCTTGTCAATAAGATATTTATCATGTGTCTAACTTGTTACTGCCAATGTATGGAAAGGTCTTGATTTTGATATAATTACTATCAAATTGCCCTCCTTAATGAGTTCCTAGTAGTGATGATAGTTATTCACCTGTTGTTTCTGGGAAATCAATTATATCACTTGAAATATAATGATAATTTTGTTTCCTATCAAATGTTTATATCTCATTGTTTTTTTCTTGTTAAATTAGCTACAACTTCAAGAGCAACAATGAATAATAGTAAAGCTAGCAGCTGAGATATTCATTTTACTATAGTAAAACTATCATTTTTACTGTAGTAAAAACTCCTCCAGCACAGCATTTTCCAACTCTATCTTGAAGAAGAGATAGTGATAAGTATGCTGTGAAAAAAGTGTTCCATGATCTGATAAGTTTGAGAAATGCTACATACTGTATTTCTTTGATTCTAAGACCCTTGACTGTAAGATGTTCAGTCAGTTTTATAATAACTTTTTTGCTGGGAAAAGAAACTTTGCCACATGAGAACTTCCCTGGTTGTATGATATACTCAGATCGCAGATAATGTTACAACTGGAGTAGGGAGGCAGTAGGGAGTAGTGTCTTAGAATATAATGTATCTCTCTTAGTAACTCATCCTATAAATTTGCATATTAAAAAGATCCTAAAATTAAAATACCTGTTGAACTTTATTTAACTTAAGTTTTCCCCAGTTTATTTGACCGGTCAGCACTTTTCAGGGGAATACCATTAGCATTTCATAGAATTTTTCTGGGAAAAGCTGCTTTGTGTTTCACTATTAAATAATGAACTACTGGTTATTGATTTCAGATAAAATTTTTTATTATAACAGCATATCATATTCTTGGTTTATTAAGTATTTTTATTAGGAACTAGAATTGATTGTTTTTAAATGTAGTTGTTTTTTAAATTATTTTTATTTATTTATGCATTATTTTTTGGCCTCACCACATGGCTTGTGGGTGTTCCCCAACCAGAGATTAAACATGGGCCACAGCAGTGAAAGCACCGAACCCTAACCACTAGACCACCAGGGAACTCCCTAGAATTTAATTTTTTGAAATACCTTTTTTTTTTTTTTTTTTTTTTAATTTTTGGCCACACCCCGCAGCATGTGGGAACTTAGTTCCCTGACCAGGGATCAAACCTGTATCCCCTGCATTGGAAGGCAGAGTCTTAACCACTGGACCACCAGGGAAGTCCCTTGAAATACTGTTTTACCATCTTTTGAGAAACCTCAAAAGATGAACTGTTTTGACCCAAGTGCAATGAAATTTATTTATTTTATTTAAATATAATTGATTTACAATGTTTTATGAATAAATGTCTAATATTGAAGTAATCTTGCCTTTCTGGAATAAATCCTGTGTGGTCTTTTTTATTTTAATATGTATTATGTAGAGTCTATTTGCTAGTACTTTACTTAGGATTTTTTATTACTGATTCATAAGTATTAACTGCCTACAGTTTCTTTTTTGGAGGCTATCTTTTTTGGGGTTTTGTAATAGTTATATAGAAAATGATTTTAGAAAGCTTTGGACCAAATTAAATATCTTGGGGGGAAGGGTAAATTGGGATTTGGGGATTGACATATACACACTACTATATATAAAATAGATAACTAATAAGAACCTACTGTATAGCACAGGGAACTCTACTCAGTTCTCTGTAATGACCTATATGGGAAAAGAACCTAAAAAAGAGTGGATATGTGTATATGTATAACTGATTCACTTTGCTGTACAGCAGAAGCTAACACAACATTGTAAATCAACTATACTCCAATAAAAATTAATTTAAAAAAATAGCTTAGGAAATATCTGTTCCTTGAATGTTTGAAAGAATTTATTCTCTTGGACCTAAACTTTACTTGCAGGCAGTTCTCTAAAAACTTGTTTAATTTCTTCTGATTTATATTTGTACTCACGGTCTCTACCTCTTCTTTAGTCAATTTTAATTGTTTTTTTCCCCCCAAATTCTTCTATTTTATCCAAAATTTAAATTGTGTACATTTTTTATAATTTTTGGTATAGAGGATAATCACATAACTTTTAAAACCTAGGTCTATAGTTATATACTCCAAGAATTTTTTGTCTTTTTCAAGGAACTGGCTCTTGTATTTATCTGAATGTCTGTTTTGAACTATTTTATGCTTTTGTCTGTAAAAATTTCTCCTCTTTAAAATTTTTTTCTAACATTTTCTTGGAATTTAAAAATTTTTGTACCTTTTGAAATTATCAGTTAATTTTTAAAATTCATGTTCAATAATAAGAACATTTAAGGTTCTTCTTATTATTATTAATATCTAAATAGTCTCTAATCATAGTTTAGTTTCTCTGTGTCCCCAACACTTTGTATTTAAAATTTCCAGTTGGCTGAGTTGGTTTGAATTTTATATTCTTAGGTATCAATTTCTCCTTTTATTATTTTGAGGTCAGAAGATGTGCCTTTTCAATTTCTACTTATTTTAGGGATTTAAAAATATTTTCTCACTAACCTAATGTATGATATTAATTTGTGCTAGCAAAGATGTTATTATTTATCCAATGTAAAGTCTTGTATAGCTTTAAGACTTATACAACTTAGATAGCAGAGTTGTGAGACAGTTTCCTACTACAGTTATGTTTCTCTAAATGTCTTCTGATATTGCAAAAAGCCTTTGAGTATTGTAATGCAATGTTTTTGGTACATCAGAGTTATTGACAGATGTCAATGTAAATATATTGTCTAGTCTAGTCCATTTGGGCTGCTATAACAGAATACCATAAACTGGGTGGCTTACAAACAACAGAAATTTATTTCTCACAGTTCTGCGGGGTGTGAAATCCAAGATCAAGGCACCAACAGATTCGATGTCTGGTGAGGGCCTGCTTCCCGGCTCAAAGACGGCCATCAGCAGTCTTCACTTTGTGTCCTCACATTACAGAAAGGGCAAGGATGTCTCTAGGGTCTAAAATAAGGGCACTCATCTCATTCATCTGCCCTCATGACCTGATCACCTCCCAAAGGCCCCACCTCCAAGTACTATCACATCAGGGATTAGGTTTTCAATTTATGAATCTTGGGAGGATACAAAATTTGGGAGAAATTTGGGGAGAATGTAGATTCAGTCTATAGCAATACTTTGTCAATGTAAAAATAACATTTGCCCTAAATTCATCTTTGTTCAATATTATAACAGTGACACCAGCTTTCTTTTGTTTTACATTTTTCTGATGTTTGCCATCCTTTTAAATTTTTTGTGACACTTTGTTCTTATTGAATCTCTTATCAATATTATATTGTTGGTTTTGATTTTTCTCCAATTTCAATAGTTTATCCCCTTTATTATAATTGATATAGTTGGTCTTCTGTCTCCTTGTTTTGTTCTTCTGTTTTTTTGCTAAATGGACTATGTTTTCTATGCTTAATTGTCTCCATAGTTTTGAAGGTGATACCATATGCTTATTTTTAATTCTGCTAGTATTTTACATTTTTTCAAAAGCATTCTTTAACCTGAGTTTTTCACGTTTAAATCTTTGATCTTCTGGACTTTATCTTGATGTAAGTTATGAGGTAAGATTCTGCCTTTTATTTTCTTCCAGATAATTATGTAGCTGATGCACACCATTTGTTATAAGAAACACTTGTATTTCTTTTACTAATTGAAAATGCCATTTTTACCTTATCTTAAATTCCTGTTCTTTTTGTATCCATTTTGGATCTTTCTGTTTTGTTTTGTTAATCTGTCTAGACATGTGCCAGTACCACACTCTTTTTTTTTTTTTTTTTTTTTTCGGTACGCGGGCCTCTCACTGTTGTGGCCTCTCCCGTTGCGGAGCACAGGCTCCGAACGCACAGAAGTGGCCATGGCACACAGGCCCAGCCGCTCCACGGCATGTGGGATCTTCCCGGACGGGGGCACGAACCCGCATCCCCTGCATTGGCAGGCGGACTCTCAACCACTGAGCCACCAGGGAAGCCCCACACTCTTTTGTTATTATGGATTTGTAATATGTTTTAGAACCATGTAGATTTTAAGTCTGTTTCTTTCTAGTTTCCTTGAAACCTTGACCTTTTCTTGATAGTCTCCCTTTTAACCTCATCCAGCTGTCTTTTCCTCTTAGTCTGGCTGGGCTCTCCTTATGATTCTTTTGGCCCTATTTTCATAAAAGCTGGGTCTTATTTTATTTGAGGATGCCAGACAGTTCCCTGAAACTTTGTTTTGGATAGATACAGCAGTAATCACTTTTCCCTTCCCTTGATTCTTCTTGTTGGCCCCCCGCGCCTTTTTTTTTCCTCATAGTTTTTTTTTTTTTTTTTTTTTTTTTTTTTTAACTTCTTGGGGCTTCCCTGGTGGCGCAGTGGTTGAGAATCTGCCTGCCAATGCAGGGGACACAGGTTCGAGCCCTGGTCTGGGAGGATCCCACATGCCGCGGAGCAACTAGCCCCGTGAGCCACAATTACTGAGCCTGCGCGTCTGGAGCCTGTGCTCTGCAATGAGAGGCCGCGATAGTGAGAGGTCGGCGCACCGCGATGAAGAATGGCCCCCCGCTTGCCGCAACTAGAGAAAGCCCTCGCACAGAAATGAAAAGCCAACACAGCCATAAATAAATAAATAAACTTCTTTTTCATTTCCTTTTAAAATTTGTGAACAGGGTATGATCTGTCCAGACTCAGTTTTTTTTTTAATTAATTAATTTGTTTTTGGCTGCATTGGGTTTTTTTTTTTTTTTGGCGGTACGCGGGCCTCTCACTGCTGTGGCCTCTCCCATTGCGGAGCACAGGACGCGCAGGCTCAGCGGCCATGGCTCACGGGCCCAGCCGCTCTGCGGCATGTGGGATCCTCCCAGACCGGGGCACGAACCCGTGTCCCCTGCATCGACAGGCGGACTCCCAACCACTGCGCCACCAGGGAAGCCCTGCACTGGGTCTTTGTTGCTGCACGCGGGCTTTCTCTAGTTGCGGCTAGCGGGGGCTACTCTTCATTGCAGTGCGTGGGCTTCTCATTGTGGTGGCTTCTCTTGTGGCAGAACATGGGCTCTAGACACACGGGCTTCAGTAGTTGTGGCACGTGGGCTTAAGTAGTTGTGGCACACGGGCTTAGTTGCTCCACGGCATGTGGGACCTTCCCGGACCAGAGCTCGAACCCATGTCCCCTGCATTGGCAGGCAGATTCTTAACCATTGTGCCACCAGGGAAGTCCTGTCCACACTCAAATTTATTTTGGAATTGTACTAATCAATCTTTTTTCTTTTCTTTTTTTTTTTTCTTCAGGCAACACTTCCCCAGATCAAAAGGAGCCAACACCTTTCATCATTGAGTGGATTCCAGATATTCTTCCCCAATCCAAGATTGGCGAGCTGCGGATCAAGTTTGAGTATGGTCACCACCGCAATGGGCATGTGGCGGAGTACCAAGAACAGCGCCCCCCCCTGGACCAGCCCTTGGAACTGGCCCCTCTGACCACCATCACTTTCCCTTGAGGCAAAACAAAAGAGTCTTTCGCTGCTAAATTTGCACATCCCCACCCTTTGACAACTTTAAATACGAGTTAGGCACTTAGATGGCTGTTCCTTAGTGAACTAATCTTAGCTAAGATGCGGTTTCCCAACACATTCAAGTGGATTCTGTTGAAGAAAAACTCTTCTTGTACATAGCCCTTTTGGTGCTGCTGTGTATAGTCTTCATTATAAATTGGGTGGTATTCCTGGCTAGTTTTTAAAGGAACAAAAAGAAAACCAGCCCACATACCTTCTCGAAGGACTCACCTTTAGAGTTTGTTTCAACCTTTTCCTAATTCTCTAAGAACTTAGCAGCACTCGCCTTACACCAACAGTGTTGGAAAGTTAATAATACCCTGCTTAGGGCAGAATGCTGACGATCATCCTGGCAGAATTCCAGTCATGCCCTTTTATTCTCTTCTCAAAGCACAGTGTCACTAGTTTTTCCAAATTATATCTCTTGTTGGCCTAATTATTAAATTATAAACCTTTCGGGAGATTCAGGTGATAGTAAAACAGGAAAAAGAGATCCAGGTGTCAAGGCAGTATTTGACATTTCAAACTAATGCTTGTAATTGCTTGTTTACTTGATTTTTCTTTCCTTCTTTACTCTCCAAAAAGTTTAACAGGTGGTAAAATTCAATTCCTGTTTTTTAGTTCATTGATCACAGAATGGAGATACACTGAAAGACACAGAATGAAAGCCTGCCTTTAAGGAGAAAGGAAGGGAATGAACATTTCCTGTTTGCCTACTACATCCCAGGCATTTTCATTTAGATTCTCATTTGATCATTTTTCTCATTTAGTCCTCATCATTCTTTGAGTTTAGCCGTCACCCCTTCTTTTATAAATTTAAACAGTCTCTTTGAGATTAAGTATCTTGCTGGAAACAGCATTAAAATGTTTCATTTTATTCCAAAGTGCATGTTCTTTCCACTCTGTCATGTTGCTTTATAATATAAATTCCTTATAATTCACTGTCCTTGGGAAGACAAGAAAAGTCCTTAGGTAGGCTTTTTGTTTTGATTGCACATAACAAAAAACCAACTCTAACCAGCTCAGGCAAAATGCAAATGAATGACTGGTTCATGGACATTAAAATAGGGCTGGACAACCATCCTGGGGTGGAGCTGTGGTGTGGCTAGGCCTCAGAACCCCTGCAGCCAGGGTCCATCTGACCCATCTCCACCTCTCCTGAGGCTTCACTCTCTCTCAGCACAGAGCATCTCCTTCTGGTAGGAATTCTGGCTCCTAATGCACCTGAAAGTATGGCTTTCACTTCCACACTAGAGCAGGACTGACTGCTCTACTCTCCCTGATCCAAAGTCCAAAATCCCCAAAAGAAAGGCTCTACTGGGCCTAACTGGGGTGGGGGTGGGGGAGTCTGTGATCATTTTTGGTAAAAGGGGGAGCTGTGCCCCTACAAGAGGGGGATGGGTAGGCAAATTAAGGGTTGTCTATCTACGATTGAGGAGCTAGCTTGTGTGGAGAGCTCCCAAGTGCTTCTGACAATGGGGAAAATCCTTGAGGAGAGTCCAGAGGTCCATGGAGAATTAGACTTGTGCTGGGCTTTAAAGGAGAGGAAGGTGGGGATTCCCTGGCGGCCCAGTGGTTAGGACTCCACGCTTCCACTGCAGGGGGCACGGGTTTGATCCCTGGTCGGGGAACTAAGATCCCACAAACCGTGCCACACGGACAAAATAAAATAAAGGAGAGGAAGGGCTTGATAGGTATAGACAAAAGGAGAAATTAAAACTAGGTGCAGCAGAGTGTTTGCTTTAAAAGCAAAAACACCCGAGGAAACACAGTGGTTGGCCTATTCTGAGAAGTCTTTCAGCCTGAGTACTTTGAGGACATCAGTCACAGCTTTTTGATCAAGCCAAACCTGTGAGTGACAGGCAAATCCTGGCTGGGTCTAGCAGTTCTTGACTCCAACCACAGGGGCCAGAAGAACCACAGGAGCCATAAAACACATGGCTGGGGCAAATAATTCACCAAAAGAGGCCCCCACTCAAGCGCCAAGGTCTTCCACCCAGCACCACCCCAGCCCACCAACACAGTTCATCAAAATCTGAAATGGGGTTCAGAGTTACACTGACTTTTTCTACATTGATACCCTCTCTACCAGGTCAAGCATGGTCCCAGGAGTACCAGTAGGGTCGCTACACCCACTCCCAGCATCCAGACACCTTTGGGACACCTCAGTATTGACCTCATTTCAGACTTGCCTCATGCCAGAAGGGTAGAGTGGTCCTAGCTACTCCCAACAGTCCAGTGCTCTTCAAACCGTGCACCCACCCATACATACTCCCATCTGTACCATCCACTGCACACCTCCATTAGTCATTGGAATCTTCCAGCTCTGAGGGCTGCCCACCTGCTGCTTTCCCATGCTGCAGCCACTATTTGTGTTCTGGAGTGAGCAGCGCAAGACCCTCCAGGTCCACACAGCCTCCTGTCTACTGCACAGACAGACGGACCATCCTCAGACTGAGTGTACTGATGGGTCTGAGATGGATGGCATCTTCACTCCTCCTCCAGGCAACATGGGGGGGCCCCTAACATGATGGGCATCATGATAACAGCTTGCTATTCCTACACCCAGAACACTTTGGTTCACACCTGCCTCTACCAGAACTGCTATCATCTCAACAGCTTGCTACTATTTAGAGGAACGATAGGCCACTCAGAGACCTCCAGAAAATCTGACTCCAAGAAGTACCCACCTAAGTGGAGTTCTGTAGGCCTGCCACCTGGCTCTCTCAAGGTACCAGATGTCATCAGCTCTGTGACTTTCTGGGCCTAGCAATTTCTGGTCACATATGTCCACCCCATCTTTCACTGATTCCTGTCATGTCTGATCTGCCAATCATTTCCCTTCCCTCCAGCCCACATATGCACACACATGCACCCACACCAGCCCCCAGGCCTGGCCACTTACAGAGTGCAACCTGTATATGTCATCCAAGAAGCACTCTGCTGTCACTGCCTGGTGTCCCATGTGAGCAACAGGCCAAAATTTGCCCTCCACTAGAATTCAGAGAAATCCCACTCTATGTGCTGAAGGTGAGGGAATGGGCAGGGGCTGCCCTCCTCCAGCCCTTCGAGTGAATGGACCCTCTCAGGCAAAAGTCACAGACAACACAGAAAAGTCAGTCACAGAGAACAGCCCTTGTGTCTATTTTTTTGGTGAATTTTCCCAAGATGGACCTGCTTCCCCCCTCAACATACTCTTTTTTTTTTTTTAATCTCCCAGGTTCTGATTTCCTAGATTTCTTCCTTCACATCTTGTGATATTTGCTGATACTCCGTATTTGATCCTCTTTTTAGACCTCCTTACAGGGAGTTCCCTGGTGGCCTAGTAGTCAGGATTCCAGGTTTTCACTGCCGTGCCTTGGGTTCAATCCCTGATAAGGGAACTGAGATCCCAAAGGGCACGTGGCGCAGCCGAAACAGAAAACCAAAAGCTCCTCCCTATCCCTGCCCTCCCGCCATCCAGCGCCACAAGCTCCCTTCACATCGTTCTACCATCCCACCTGTGTCACCAAGGGAGCAGGGTGACATGTTAACAACAGTTCTTTAGTGTGCATAGGAATCACCCAGGGATCTAGTTAGAAAGCATATTCTCATTCAGAAGTTCCAGGGTAGGTTCCAAGACTCCGCATTTGTAACATCAAGCTGAATAAAGAAAGCTGATGGACTGAAGAAACTCTGCTGGACTGCAAGCCTCATTTTGAGTTGCAGGACCTAATACCTGAGCAGGTGCTGACCCCCACCTTTCATTGGCAGTGCTGGAGGTCGGTGACACTCCGCAACTAGTGGCCCTTGCATATAGCCAGGTGTTTCAAGGCAGCATATTAGTCTGGGCTGCTTTATGGCACGCTCCTGCAAACCTGATCCAACTGATGCAGGCAGTAGCCATGTTCCTAGGAACTAGTTCCCATCGATAGTTACAGAAGTACAAAGCCAGTCTGCTACCATATACGTTCCCCGCCGTTTTTTGCCCTTCTCCCCAGACCACCATCTTAAGGTTCAGATTTTAACCCCTGGGTTCAAACTCCCACTCTGCTACCCGCTTATTAACAGTGCAACCTTGGGCAAATTATTTAACACTCTGAGCCCCAGTTTCCTCGTCTGGGTGATGTGCAGAGTAAATAAGATAGTCTGTTAAATGCTTATTAAATACTATTACCCTTTCATCTCACCTATTGTTCTGCACTTCTCTCTTCTACCGTGTTTTCTTATTTACTTTTGGCTGCGTTGGGTCTCCATTGCTGTGCGCAGGTTTTTTCTAGTTGTGGTGAGCAGGCGCTACTCTGTAGCCGTGCGTGGGCTTCTCACTGCAGTAGCTTCTCTTGTTGCGGAGCACAGACTGTACATAAGGCAGGCTCAGTAGTTGTGGCTGGCAGGCTCCAGAGCGCAGGCTCAGTAGCTGTGGCGCACAGGCTTAGTTGCTCCGCGGCATGTGGGATCTTCCCGGATCAGGGCTCGAACCCGTGTCCCCTGCATTGGCAGGTGGATTCTTAACCACTGCCTCACCAGGGAAGTCTCTACCGTGTTTTTCTATCTTAGCTTTGCTGCTTTTTGTCCCTCCTTAAGAGCTTTTGTACTTACACTGACATACAGCAAGATTAAAGTAAAAGAAAGTCTGGAAGTAAATATGAAAAGGGGTACTGCTATTCCTTATCTTCATATCTTTTCCTTTATTTTTCCCCCCCAAATTTTCTATAGCAATATAACTTATGTTGATAAGTTAGAGAAAAGGCAAGGTTTTAACCTTAAAAGAAGGGGCATAATAATCAAGCTTCCACACTGTACGAAAAAAAAAGAGGAAGAGAAAGGCTCCCGGCGCCGAGGGCGGCGTCTGGTCACGCGGCAGTCGCCCCCTCGGCTCCG